ACCCTGTTAGAGACGAAAGGACGGGGTTCTGGTAAAGCTGTGAGCCCTGCATCCTTTACCACCATGAGCCCTGACTTTTCTGAAGGATCCCCGTCCCCTTTGCCCCGACTCCGGGGCTGGTCCGCACGCCGCCCGCTATCGCAGCGCAGCGACAGCAGAGGCCCGAAAACCAATGCAAGGCTTCGGTCACGGCGTTTGTCTATCGGGTGTCCGCTGAACTTCATATAAGGTTGAAATTGTTGACATCTTTCCGTGCAGCCAGGGATCCACATTGTACATCTCCTGCATGTGACAAACTCCTACTCACATAGGCACCTAAAACAAAGGCAACCTGAAGCAAGTCGCTCCAGATTTGTACTCGAGGATCGTAAGAGCCGATCGGGCTGGAGGCTGTGGATCCATAGGTATGTTGGCTCGGACCGGAGAGGCTTCAACAATTTAGGAATGGGGTTTCAGATGAAGAATCTACGGAATATCGGCTCCATGATGTGTGACTTGACTTCTTGGACTTGGATTCAGGGACTGGGGTCGGGAGCTTAGGCCGCCTATAATCATTTCCAGAACAGCTCAGCCCTGGAATCTCGAATGGGGGCCTGGAATCGAACCACAATCCATCTGCACATGAAATTCTGTTCACTGATTCCTGCAGGGTGACGCAAGCCGGAAGCTTAACGTGCGGGGGATCACGTGCTGCTTGTGAGGCTCGAAACCCGGCAGGGCAACACTGCTGCTTTGAAGCCTGCAGGCAATTGTTGCTTCATTACTTCCGTCACTGTTCTGTACTTACATCTACCGCCTGCTGCTGCCATTCGAAAAGACATGTCTTGTATCCCTCAGAATCCCTAAGGTGATCCCAGCGTCGTGGATGAAGCTTTGCTGCAGCTCGCGTCGGGTCCTCGTGTAGAACCTTAGCCAGATCGTAGAACATTGCATTGCAGCTGTATGGAGGGAACGGATCCCTTGATTGGGCACTGCTTCTCAGGTTGCATCCTCCAGAACAGGACGAGAGAAGTAAGCATCCGTGTCGCTACGGAGCGTCCTGCCACTTGATCGCAGATCAGAGACTCCGCTGTTAAAATCTCTGAACTGCGACAATTCTCGGATCCGACGAGCCACTACGTGCAAGTTTGTGCCTACCGACTGGAGTCTGATTATATCCACAGGTCTCAAACCTGCCTGCAGACACCCCCTGAAGGTCATATTCGCACTCCAGATCACCTCACGCGAACATCAGCCACGATTGCTGCTGCATGTGACAGCTCTTTTGTTGGAGCTGCAGATACTATGCTGTTATTCCTGACCGTGATTGCGGTGTTTAGAGGTTGCGTTTGTTGTTTGTTGCTGGGTCTAGCTGTGGTCGTGTGCAAATTTCGGAGCGGTTGCTGTTGTTGCTGCAGTTTGTGGTTGCCCCTTTGGTTTTTGTTACAGCAGATTGCAGCAGCTGGACGGGCTCTTCGGATTTCGGGTTCTGACCACATGTTGATGCGCAGGGTCCAGACAGGCAGCTAAGGATGGTTTCCTGAAGTGGACGTTTGGATCCTTGGGGTGCACGTTCGTGGCTCGGGGCCCAGGGGCAAAAAGTGCAGAGTTGGTGCACCATACACTTTTTGGAGTTCTCAACTTGCTACTGTCTTCTTCCTCTGTCTATCCCTATATATGGATTCAGTCACCATACAGTGACAATGCATGAATCCTCACACCATGCATCCCAAGCACCTCGTCACATTCCGCTGTATGCCAGGGTTCTCACATCCGGAGACAGGCCCAGGCCCCTCCAGGCCTGTTGCGGGTGCTCTGCGGAAAAGCCTTGCTGGAAGTCCCCTCGAGCCCTCGCGAAATAAGCCGAAGCTCTGTGCAGGCCTACAGGGCCCACAGGCGTAAGTGGTGCGGGGACTTCTGCTGCCCGCGGTTTGCCCATGCTGGGGCCTCGATTTCGTGGTCAGCAATAGGCTTCGATGGTTTGGTTATTTTAAGAGTTCAAGATTTAGGGCCAGGGTTGAAAGGCTTGACAAGGCTCTTGAGGTGTGCTCTCATGTTGAGGCTTACGGACGTCACTGGCTGTGGATATGGTGGGAGGGTTAAGATCGTGGTAGTGGGACTTCATACTGATCTGGCGGAGTTTTTCTGGTTGTCAGGTGCTCGTTCTGCACGTCTTTCCTGCCGTTGGAGCGACATGCCCGTTAGTGGGTTCGCAGCTCCATCTTTCGAGTTTATTGACGGCGATGTTGCTGTTGGTGCTGTCCCAGATTCCAACTCGACTATGTCGTACTTCGTTCGACACTGTCCTAAAGAAAACAGTGCAAAAGACACCTCGACGAATCCCATGTGCGCACACATATAGACTGATGACACCTTGCAAGAGTTGTTGTCACTTTGTTTCAGTGTTGGTGGTGATTATCCATTCCCATCAGATGGCCATCCCGAAGCGTCACACCACGGGAAAGCATACCTACTTATTAGCCAGACCGTATACAGTCAAACATATCCCGACCCGGGCTAACTATTCCAAGACCCGTGCGCAAATCCTCGTGCCTACCTTATGCCCTAAACCCTAAATCCCGAACCTAACAACAACCTGTACTCCTCAACTCCAAGTCGAAAGCCTTGAGAGACAGGACTGGCAGTAGGGAGCCTTCCGGTGCCTCGGGGGCTGCGGGCCGGACGCCCCTTGATGAAGTGGAGTTGAGCGTTTAAGTTTTGGGGTTTCGGGCTTGGCAGCTTGTGCTTTTAGGTTTAGGTTGACCTTAGTAGTAGTCGGCAGGGGCTGCGACCCCAAGAGGTTCTAGGACTCTGGATCTGAACCAGAGCTTCTGTTAAGCTACGTAGACTCTGATATAGTAGGTCCTTACAGCCAGGGCCGCACAAACAACAAAAACATGGCTCTCTCGGTTTAAGGCGTCTACGGGAAGAGAAGGTTTGGCTCGAGTTTGCAACAGAAACCATCAAGTCGCACAAGCAGTCCGAGATCTGGCAAGCTTGAAGTTTGGGCGTAACGTAGCCTTCAGCCTTCAGCTCGGAGACATCGGCCGTGAACTCGAGCGAGATTCTACATATTGAGTAACCTATTACAGTAATAGAAGTATACACGAGTGTGTGTGTGTGTGTGTGCGCGTGTGTTTGTGTGTGTGTGTTTCTGTGTGTGTGTGTGTTTATGTTTGTGTGTGTGTGTGGGTTGGTGTGTGAGAGAGAGAGAGAGAGAGAGAAACTGACTGCGGGCGAGGGTAACCGGAGTGACGTGAGCCTCCCGTTCACGTGCTTTTTGCAAGGTCTATCTAGCTCAGCAATGCCCCCAAATTTAACAACCCTAGAGTAGGAAAATTCATCTTGACAGCAGTTTCCGACCTGCAACGAGTACAAGTAAATCCGAACGAGGCCGCGGAAGGTGCCCCCGCTCCAATGGCTCACAGAATCAGAACCAATGCAGCGTCGTAGCTAGTTTCGGAGGCTTCAGGCAGCTAGACCCTTCGAGGATTCAGGGTTTAGGGTTTAGGGTTTAGGGACGCCAGCTCCATATCCTAGTTCTCTCATCCGAGACGGGCCGGAAGCCAAGGACGCTGGGGACCAAAGTTGTACCTGCGCGTCCGAGGACGCTTAGACCGCAATGGCCACATACCGAAATCCAAGAGTACCCCAGCATGACTATCCATGTGTCATGCCTCGTGCGAGGTTGTAGTGCCAGATGTTTACACTTAACACTAACCGCTATCCTGGCCCTTCAAGCCTTAAACTTGGAAGGGCTCGCTTCGGATTTAGGATGCCTTTCGAGGCTTTGCGAATCAAACAAATTTGGCTGTAGGCGAGGTCCGGCGAGGTAAGCCTCCAAAGCCCAAACACATGAACGCCCGGGAGTGCCCGACGGCTCTCAACCTAAACCCCTCAACCCTAAGAGCCCCAAAGATCCAACAACTCTAAACTTTAAACCCTATAGGCCCTGGGCCCGCTCAGAGCCAGAGCTTGCGCTGATAGGATACGCTTTGCTGCTAGCGGCCGAAGAATTCGCAACATCCAGAAAAGGAGTTTCAGCTGTTCCCGGAAGGTAACAATGTGAAGCACGACAACAGCAAAGCCGTCAAGACACCATGTGGTATTTTCACGGCTTTTTCGCCTGAACTCCCTGGTTATCCTTTTGGGCCACAGTGATTCGACTTCAAGCAGCCCTAAACTTTAATTGTTGTGGACTGGCTTCGGCGCATTTGCAGTTGCAAAGTGTAAGATCGTATTAGCGCACGCTCTGGCTCTGATCTTTGTCTGACAGCTTGACAGATATCAACAGCAAAGCCTTCAAGACACCATGACCAAAAGCAGAAGCTTCTGCAGCTCTTCCTGAGAAGTCCGGGCGCTGGACTATATGATGCGAGGCAACACCTCAAGGATCCGGGCCAAGCACAATCTTGTCATCTTGAATGCCCGACAGAGCTTAGAGAAGGCATCTGCGCAGCGTGGACGAATGGGAAGCCTTCATCCTCCCCCACGCCTGCGCCTGATTACGCATGATGACGCCACTACAGCCATCCCAAAGGCCAAGCGCGAGGTTGTCATTGGATATGCAATCGCCTCCGTGACATCAGCGATGATCTGCTCGCAGCTTTGGTCCGTGCAGTCTGCGAACGCGGAGTGATCGTGATCCCAGACCAATCCCGAGCCTCGAGGAGCAAGAGGTGTTCACTTTGCGTTTATGAGGAAGTCACCGCTACTGTCACGGGCCAGCCTCCTGATTGTTTTGAGGTTCACCCAGGATTGTTCGGCTGTCTAATTTCCGTGCCGACGGCGCCAAAGTGTCAGGGGGCCAAGGCGATCTGCAGCTCGCGCAGTACTTCGTTGCAAGCTGAGCCTTGTCCGCACGTTCAATTTTCTCAAGCCATGATTGCGGTGCTCCGGCAACTGCACACTGGTGTTCAGCCTTCTCATGCTGCTCACAAGACGAAGGAAGAAACTTGGGACTTTCTCGGAGAAGCCCTTCTGTTCGCCTCGCTTCGACTTGTTTGGGCGACCAGCTTGGCATGTGTGTCTCGCTTCGGCCCCTGACTGCATCACTCCTTGGAGCGAAACGCAAAAACTTCACCTGTTCTTCCGTGTTCAAGAGAACGTGGGTAATCAGCCACACCAAACAGCGGTTGGTTCTGGTTGCAACCTCGCAGGACCTGGCGCATTGGAACGTGGCGACTGGCAGTGCCAAGGCACCAGTACAAGTGCTGCCGACGAGGCTTCAAGAGACAAGAAACAAAGTTCGGCACTTCCTGATGAAGTCCGACGCAGGACTCCGTGACATCCGAGACAAAGACTGCAAGGACATGGGCACAAGCAACAATCTTGTGGATTTTGTAGCCCCAGACAAGAGCATGGAGAAGGCCTGTTGCGAGGTGGTGAACAAGTGGCGTGGGCCCGGCGTTCGCAGGAGTTCTGGATGCTCTGCGATGTGGCGGGTTCACACACTTCCACCTGGAAGCAGCAGGCGTCACGAGTCCAAAGTTCTGGACACGGGAAGGGAACTTGGCGGCGAACTTGGACTTCATGGTGTGGGCATAATACCGACGCACCGGCATCCTCTTCCTTGCCGAGTGCGTCTTCTTCATCTTCCACGCCGCCCACGAGCCTCCCGCCATTCCAAGGACAAAGCGGCGGGTATGCATTGATGGCTATCAGATGGAGGACGTGCGAACATACTTCACCGAGGTGCATAGTCGCATCCGCGCCCTTTTGGACAACACACGGCGAGGACCGCGACGTCGAAGTGATCTACGAGTTCTTCAAGAGACACGTTTACAGTCCCTCTGGTGGTGCTCGGCTCTTCGTGCCCCGAAGGGGAGACCACTTGCTAGACCTGGGGGGCCAAGCCGGGTCGGCCACGGCGTGGTATCTCGAGAATGGCAGCTAGCAACGATGCTTACGAGCCGACGGGCACTTTTGAGATGCTGCAGGCGAACCTTGGAGAGGAACCACGAGTACAGCTGCAAAAAAGCGGTGGTCCACGAGACATGCTCTTCGGAGACGGGCGGCCGCAAGATAGAGCACAGCGCCAGTGCCACAACAGCTCTTCCATCACAGGCCGAGCGATGTGATGATTTGGGACATCTTGCAAGCCCTTCTTGTCGGCGAGTCGGATTGCATGGCTTGTAAATACGGCGTTCTGGAAGCGACGGGCCTTGCAGAGTCGAAACCCAGTTTTTTCTAGTGATTCTAGTCCATGTTTTACTTGTACCATGCGCAGTGGTAGGGAGCAAGCGGACTCCTCCATGTGCTCTGGATGAGGGACTGGAAGTTCTGGCACCCCGGGGGCGGTTTTGTTTTGCAGGTGGATTCCACATTCGAGGAATGAGGGACGGAGTCCGCTGAAAGGCCGCCTCTTTGTCCTGGCCAGCTTGAGCCATCAGCACTCTTCATCCTGAAGCCGCGTGTCCTACAATTCTAAATTCGTGGTAGCTGGGAATTCTCACATTCCTACCTCCAAGCACAATTGCTGTTATCTTGAAAGAACCCGTCAGCCATAAGAGCCGAAGTCGTGTTAATCCCTGTAAGGCCCAGCTTTATCGAACCTTTCAAACCCAAAGCCCAACAAGCACCCAAACACACCAAAACGTTGTCGTGATGTTTTTTGATTTGCAGCCTCCCCAAAAAGCCCACAAGTCTGCAAGCCCTTGAACCTAAGCCCTAATCTGGGTGTTTCAAAGAGACCTTAAACACCTAAAAGCCGCAGGAGCGCCCACGACAAGCCAAGCGACCCCACTCCGACGGGCACGTCCGGCCTGGCGGAGGCTTTGCCATAAGAGGGCATCGGGGGTCCAAGGTTTATGGCTCAGGGTGCTTATGCTTCGAAGGGCTAAGGGTAGGTTTAGGGATGAGGGCCCGTAGCTGTTGCCTCTTTTGGGGGTGCGAGCGGCGGGAGGGTGGGGCAGGTTGGTAGTATGACTGAGGGTCGTGGAGAATGTGTCGTCGCTACTGCAACCATCAATGGCCCCCAAACTCTAAAGGCCTTCCCGAGCATCGTGGGATATGGTGAGAGCATTGTGTCAAGGGTCATCTTCAAAGCGTGGCGCATCGCTTTAATTCGAGACGGTTTTGAATTCCCGCTGCGGGTTTTGCTCAGGCTAGGTTGCGAATATCGCACCTACATGTATTTTAGATGCATTCGTGTCATTCGTAATTAAGTTCCACATAGACGAAACATGATCAAACTTATCACCCCGTCAATATTCTGGTTTGCGCAATTCGTGATTAAGCACTAGTTTCAATGCTTTTATCACGGTCCCGAATAATCGATTAAACCTAGTGCCTTCAATATTCCCACCATGTCTCGGATTTCCGATATTTCGATCAGCTCCATCAACTTTGCAGTGCGAAGGTTCGATTGCGATCAGGCTTGAACGGAACCGAAAATTCCTGGCGCAGCACAAGACCCAACCGACGACAACGGTAACCACAGACAGTGCAGAAGCAACACGGTTCGCGTTTGCACAGTTTTGCACAGCAACATCGAAAACACTCGCACTCGGAGCAACAAGAGCCCGAAGGCCAATACATAGATCGACCTAACCGCGCCTGCAGAAAGCAACATTGGCAAAATCTAAGACCAGACGAGAAGACATGCAACAGCCGACCACGACCAAAAATAGCAACAGCAGCAGCCATAATTATCACCGACACCAACACCCGCGGCAACAGCATCACCCCGAGCAATAGCAGCAACAGCAACACTAACACTGACAGCAAACTGCAACGAGTGCGACGACCACGACCACAACAGCAGCGATTGCCTCGACGACGACAAGAAGAAGTAGCGGAGCTGCGAAGCCTCGGAACCCCGAACTCAGTCTAAGTACCTGCAAGCGATGTGATACTTTACTTGCCATGTAGACATTGTGGAGCCCCGGGTTCTAGAAGCGCCCTGCTGCCGCAGCTCCCGAGCGACGTACGCCGGGCCGAGACACCAAATCCCGACATCACGAATCCCGTGGCCGGAGACCTGGAATTTGTTTTCCATCTTCGTGAAGTCACGATTTCGTGGTCGGAATAGATCCAAACTCCAAATTTGGGTTGTGGCCCCTGCTGTGGACAACTACTAAGAGCTCAGAGTTCCGTACGTACAGTTTGGGCACCTGCATTCGTCATTTGCATATCAAGTCGGGCCCTAAGCTATGCCTACAGGTCAACTCGAACTTGGGTCGACTTTTAGGAATCGGGCCTATGGCAGATCGAGGGCTCGGACTGTGTGTGACTTGGTGAGGAGTGCAGAGAAATGCAGAAAATCGCCCAGATACCTCGGGGGTTGCTTGCGTAAGCGTTTCTAGGCTGTTGCACTCCAGTGTCAATCTGATTAGATTCCATGCCATGAAACATCGCACACATGCGACAGAGTCCCAAGTTGCTTTGAAGTCACCTTGGAAGCTTCAAGCTCGAACACAAAACCCTGGAACCAAAGCCCCCATACAACCGCAAGCCCTGGAAGCTTGAACCTGAAACCCAACACAACTGCGATCTTAATCCTTCTGCTTCTGGGATGATTCCTGAAGCCTGGCGGCAAGCTTCTGAGTCGTCTGCCCTTAGGTGGAAGACGCGGGTGGGAGCACTTCTTCCAGAAGCGGTCGGCCAGTCTGTCGCTACGGCGAGGTGCCGTGGTTTAGAGAGGCGTCGGATACTCGTTTCGGATGTCATAACGGAGGTGTGCTTCGATTGCATGTTGAATTCTTGGTTTGAGCCGTGATCTTGCGGACGGCTCTGGCAATTCACCGATTTACCCTCGGAAGCTTTACTGCTAAGATGCCACTGTTTAAGGTTCGTAACGATTCTACAATCTTGGTTCATTTCGAGGGTCGGTGTTGGCGGCTACTTCTATCCGTCCTCATGCTACGCATGTGGGCAAGAGTTTATAATTACAACGGCAAGAAGGTTCAGCCTACAAGGGCACACAACTTGTGGAAAGGGATGTTGTGGTCTTTCGGACAATTGACGTAAGATGTGCAGCAAAAGCCAGTGATCTAATCAGGTAGTGTTGGACACCTACAGACCATGACAGCCAGTTGATTACTCGCGTTTCATGGCGCATGGCCTACTTCATGCACTATGTCTATGCAAACGTCCCTGGCATGCAAACTCGCCTCTCCATGGCCCTACACCCGAAGCCCGGTATCTTGACTGGTATCTCAAGAAGTCTGCACGGTCGAATCCGAGTTGGCAGTGACCCTTACAGTTGATGGCGGTATAGAGTTCAGGTCAGGGGATTGCTCGCTTTATCTCGCGTCGTTGCACCCACTGCGTTTCTTACAACTGGGGGGTGTGGCCCTAACCCTAAACCCCATGCAAACCCGAAACTGTGATCCTTGCAGTTCTTTTGACTGGAGTCAAGACCATAGACCTCACACCAGAGTAAAATAATTGTCTCAATCGGCACACTCGCACCATCTTGCACCTGCAGTCCTAGACGGCTAGGTTTTGCCTTCCTGTGGACGCAAGGGAAATCACAGGCAGGACAGATCCTACAGTACCACGTATCAAGACATGGCCGTACTTTCATGCCAGGGCCGGTCGAAAACCAGGCTCTCCCTTCATGCACCTATTTACAATGGGCGGTTGCCAGCATGAGGACTTTGTTTCGAGACCTTGATCTCCATCAGGCCAAACCCACCTTGCCCACTCGCTCGCACTGAATGGCCATTTTGCTTGACAACCAGCAAGGCTTCTTTCAAACCTGAATCTGCTTTACCGATCCCGCCATTGTGTTCCCACTGCTGGTTCTCGAAATATTAAGCCGGGTGCACCGGGCAAGGCATGCTACAACAACAACCCCAAGCACTTGGCCGAGTTCTCGCAGCTGGGCAGAACGAAGTTCCAGGGAATCGGTGCAGGAACCTTCCTGTCAAGAAAACCCTTTACAGCATTACATCCAGTCCAAAGCCTTACCGCGAGATGAGGTCCGACTGTACAGCCTGGCAGCCTGCATTTAGAGGTAATGTCCACCGTGTGCGCATACATAGTTCTATGACTGTATAGCCATGTGCATGTCTTTGTGTGTGTGCATGTTTTGTATGTGCGCTCTGTATGTGTATTTGCATGTGCAGGCATCATACATATATATATATATAAATTTATATATACATATGTATGTGTACATATATACACATATGCATGCACCAACACATCTTGCAATGCACAAGTAGATCTGTCGGGTACATGACGATTTCTGGCACGGGCACTTACGTTCATACCATACATTCGGGTAAACTGGAAAGGGAACCAAATGAATGTCGATGTAGCTGGATCTTTACACTTTACTCGAATGTTCGGGCTTTTTCAAGGATTGCCTGAAGGGGCAGCGCACAGGCCACAGGCTAGCTGGGTAAAAGCTCCATGCAAATTGCAGAAGGCCCTCTACTTGGCATATGGCCTTTACGAAGCTGCGGCATCACGACGGCATCAGAATTTCTCAACACCTAGGCCCTCACAGACTCTCACGTTATGCTCTGCATGTTAGGCACCCCTGGCTCGACGGAGAAACCGAGCGCCAGGCCAGACTTTTCGCAACCAGTAGCTGTGTCCTCGTGCGACGAGCAAAATTCGAAACCCTGCTTCGCAACTGTTGAGGGGCTCTTCAAACTGTGCTCCGCGGCTTGTTGAGTCCCCTGCAGCACTTTGCACCGCT